CCCTACTGGACTTTCTTGTATATACTATATATTTTTGGTAAAGTTATGTAGATAGTATTTTCACATAGGAATATTAAAAACATTTTTCACAAAAAGAATAGATTTTGTTTTCTGATTGACCTATTATTTAGGTTAGGCTATCTGGCAGTGAGGAGATTGGTTGAGCCATGCCCACCTGCCCCGGCCCTCTCTGTCCATTGAAATGAGACTCTGTTTTTCATTTCAACATTGATTCTCAGCAGAGCAACTTGTCTCCTAGTTTAGTGGCAATAGATCCTTGGTGCCTCGAATCTGAAGGACAGATTACTGTCAGAAACGTTCTTCTGAAGGCACTTTTTTTCTATTTTGTAAATAGTTCTGTAAATATATAAATTGTTAATTTAAACAAAACAAAACAAAAACAAAACAAAAAACTAAAAAAAATTAAAGAATGGAGTCTGGGTGGACCCTGGTCCACTCCAGACAATCCAGGTGACGGACTGTGAGCTGGGTCTGCGTGCTTTGAGGGGTGGGGGGCGTAGAGTCTACGCCCGTGAGAGAGCCCGTGCATCACCCGTTTCCGACTGGAGTCGGGGCCTTAAACATAAGGCTCTAACCCTAACCCTCCGGTTGGGCACAGGTCCCTAATAAGATTTCTGTTCTGCACTTCTATGGAGCAACAGCATCATCCCTTCTCAGCCACAGAGCCCCTGAGTGCCTTGAGCCTGAAGAAGGGTAGAATACTACCCGAAACGTAGTTTTTAAGGCACCAGTTTTATTTTTTGTAAATATTTTTCAATTTTTGTAAATACTTTTTGTACATAGTTCTTTCTGAAAACATAACAAAACAAAACAAAAAATCCCCCCAAAAACAAAACAACTAAAAAGAACAAAAAAATTAAGCTGAACAAAACGATGATGTCTGGGTGGACACTTTTCCGCTCCAGGCGAGCAAAGCTGCAGTCCTGTGGGCTGGTTCCACAGTGCCCAAGTGGCAGGGGCAGAGGGCTTCATATTATAGATTCATGGAGAACCTTAACCCATACAGGTTCCACCACAGATGGCCTGGAAATGAAGTATGCTCTATTAACCTTCAGGGTTATATGTGCAATTTGTCTTAGAGTCATCAGGGTACAGAAAACCCTTTAAGCAGGTAAGTAATAAAAAAAAAAAAGTAATGTAAAAAGCATTTTATTTGGAGGTTTATGAATACAACTGTCACCAAATCCAGCACTAAAACATTTATGTTAAAAAAAAAGGTCAAAATAAAACATCCTCAAAGAAAAGTGATCTGGTCCTCGTCCACCCCAGTCTGAAAAACATTAAACATTATTAATGCTCTCAAATACTCTGAAATGTCCACAAGACAGAAGAGGAACAAATAGGGGGAGGGGGATGGCGTTAGGGGGCAGGGTTAGGAGGCAGGGTTAGGAGGCAGGGTAAGGAGGCAGGGTTAGGGGGCTGGGTTAGGAGGCAGGGTTAGGCAGGGTTAGGGGCAGAGTTAGGAGGCAGGGTAAGGAGGCAGGGTTAGGGGGCTGGGTTAGGAGGCAGGGTTAGGGGGCTGGGTTAGGAGGCAGGGTTAAGGGGCAGGGTTAGGAGGCAGAGTTAGGAGGCAGGGTTAGGAGGCACAGAAATGCATCAAACCTGCTCCACTGTTATAAACCATTGGAGCGTATAATGAATACACAGAGTCGCTGTAGTGCACCCTCAAGTGGTCACTAACCTTTACTACACATAACTGTTAATTCACCTGTCAAAACCATAGACTATATATAAATAATCATAGCTAACACACTAACCGTAGCTTTCTAAATAGAAAGTTTGCATGAACACTCTTCCAGCTCCTACTGACCCTTTCTTCCATTGACTAACATTGGAAAATTGACGGTCTATTCCAGGGGACTGGAGAGAAGAATCCGGCCCATAGTCAAACCTCGGATCCAGGAAGAGCAGTGTGGTTTTCATCCCAGTCGTGGAACACTGGATCAGCTCTACACTCTCCATCGGGCGCTCGAGGGTTCGTGGGAGTTTACGCAGTCCACATGTACTTTGTGGATCTGGAGAAAGCGTTCGACCGTGTCCCTCGTGGTGTCCTGTGGGGGGCTGTCTGGTCCTTATATGACCGGGCAGGAGCTGTGTTCATTGCCGGCAGTAAATCAGTCCTGTTCCCGGTGCATGTTGGACTCCGCTAGGGTCACCCTATCACTGGTTCTGTTTGTTGTTTTTATGGACAGAGTTTCTAGGTGCAGTCAGGGGCCAGAGGGGGTCTGGTTTGGGGACCACAGGATGTTGTCCTGTTGGCTTCATCGGGTCAGGACCTGCAGCACTGGAGTGGTTTGACCCGACTGTGAAGCGTCTGGGATGAAGATCAACTCCTCCAAATGGGTGGAGAGTCCCTGTCTCAATTGGAGGAGTTCAAGTATTTCGGGGTTTTGTTCTCGAGTGAGGGGAGGACAGAGCGTGAGATTGACAGGTGGACAGGTGCAGCGTCAGCAGTGATGCGGTCGCTGTATTGGACCGTTGTGGTGAAGAGGGAACTCAGCCCAAAGGCAAAGCTCTCGAGTTACCTCCACTTCTTCATAATGTTTGTGTTTTTAAAGGATTTAAAATAATTTATGAATGACAAGGATCAATGGTAACAATACTTTTCTGTTACTTAGGGTTTCTTTTGTTTAAATATCTTTATTACCTCCGCCAAGGAGGTTATGTTTTTGCCATGGTTTGTCTGTTTGTTTGTTTGTCTGTTTGTTTGTTTGTTTGTTTGTTTGTTTGTTTGTTGTCTGTCTGTCTGTCTGTTGTTTGTTTGTTTGTCTTTTAGCAACATAACTCAAAAAGTTATGGACCGATTTTGATGAAATTTTCAGGATTTGTTGGAAATGTGAAAAGGAAGAACTGATTTCATTTTGGAGGTGATCCGGAAGAAATCCTGGATTCTGCATCACTTCAAAATTTTAGTTAACATTGTGGTAAATGGGGCCAAAAATTTTGTTTCTCAATATCTCGATTAATTATTGACCAAACCCCATGAAATTTGACTCAGGGATGGACAATGGAATCCTCTTTCATATTCCAAAGGCTGATCTGGATCTGATCCAGAAGACAGATTTTATCGCAATTTATATAAAAAATGGGGGTAGTCCTTGGCGGAGGTCTGCGCTCTCTGAGTGCTTTTCTAGTTATAAATATTTATTTTGTAGTCTTTTGTAGTAACATGTGGAGCAGCAAATGAGTGTAACTGAACTTTACTTGTGAAAGAAAGATTTTTCCTCCTTTATTGTTTATAGATTTAAAATGACCAAATAAAGAAAGTTAGGGTTCTGAGCTCACGGCCATTTTGGGACCATATCCTTTGGTGTAGCTCAAGTCATACCTGACCAACCTTTATGTGAGAAAGGAGACAGAGTTAGAGGCGGGGTTAAGGGTTAGGAGGCGGGGTTAAGGGTTAGGAGGCGGGGTTAGAGGCGGGGTTAGGGGTAGGAGGCGGGGTGAGAGGCAGGGTTAGGGGTTAGGAGGCGGGGTTAGAGGCAGGGTTAGGGGTTAGGAGGCGGGGTTAGGGGTTAGGAGGCAGGGTTAGGGGTTAGGAGGCGGATTTAGGGGCAGGGTTACCAGGAAGAGCAGAGTGTGGTGGATAATGAACTCTCGCAGCAGTCGGACCAAATCCTGGTTCAGGGTTTGGAACAGGGTCGGGATCAGGACTAACGCCAGATTATGAGCAGACATCAGGTTCACCTGCGAGAACACCTGGATCCTGAGGACACAGGTAAGACAGGTGAAACAGGGCGGAGCAAAGGAGACGGAGGGACAGAGAGGTAGAGAAGGGGGGAGGTATGTGTGTTTATGTAGGTTCTAATAGTACATGATCTTTAGTCTCATTGATTGTCAGTGGTGATTTGCTCTGATTTGAGCAGATTTTGGGATATTCTGAAAAAGTCGTGAGCTTGTTCGGTGAGGCGTGGCGTTCGCTTGACCTTTGAAACCTTTTTGTTCACTATGTTTTCATCTTCGTCGGAGTGGCATAATGACAAAAAGAAGACCGCGCTCAGATCGGCCAAAATGTGGATCCGGTGAAGATCATTTAGTGACTTAGGGTTAGGGTTTTTTCAGATGTAGTGTCTAGGGAGTAGTGTCTAGTGTTTAGGGGGCGGGTGTAGTGTCTAGTGGGGATGTCTAATGCTTTGGTGATGTGCTTAGGGGCACTTATATGTAGAAGTTAGGGTTAGGGTTTTTGGTTTAGGGGCACTTACATGTAGAAGTGTGCAAACAGTGCATTGAGAGTGGCTCTGTTGTCGTCGGGCAGATCTCGTAGTAACTGTTTGTAGGCGGCGAATCGGGCGCGTTCGTTTGAGATCACTGCAACAGAACAGAGACAAAAGTCTCTAGTCTAGTTATACTACTACTACTACAACTACTACTACTACTAGTACTACTACTACTGGTACTGCTACTGCAACTACTGTCACTGTTACTGCTGACCTGCAGCTTGGCTCCACTGTGGCATGTGGTGTTCAGGGACCAGTCCTGTCATTTGTCGTACGATGCGTTTGAGGGCGGTGGCTGCATCCAAGACGCCTTGCTCATCGCTCTCCAGAGGGGCGGAGCCTGGTGACCTCATCAGTGCCTCCACCAATCGGTTCACTTTGTTTGTCAGACCACTACGGCGGTACACGCCCTCAACCTTCAGACCTGAGCAATGCACACAACACATTATACTGTGTCATTAGACCTGGTTTAGACCCAGTTTAGACCTGGTTTAGACCCGGTTTAGACCCGGTTTAGACCCGGTTTAGACCCGGTTTAGACCCGGTTTAGACCCGGTTTAGACCCGGTTTAGTCCTGGTCTTCATACCGTGAGCTGTGATGTGAGAAATGCAGCGTTCGATTGAAACAGGAACTCTTCCCTTCACTGACTTCACTGGGTACAGCCCTCCACTCTGATTGGCTCGTGGAGATGATCCTGCATTCTGATTGGCTGCTGGGTATGGAGCTGCGATTGGATTGGTTCCTGGTTTAACTGCTGGGCTCTGATTGGCTTGCTGAGCATTGAAGGCGGAGCACAGATGGCTGAACCAGGAAGAGCAGCTCAAATTGTCCTCGAATCGGAACGACATACTCCTGAAACCGAACAATGAGAGGGCAGAGCACATGATCAGTTCATAAATCGACCAATGACAGAGCATTTCTGTCCTGTGTAAAGGGGTGTGCTCTATTCTCTGCAGCATGATTGGCTAAAGAGTCACCTGTCTCTGGTGTCCAGCGTCACAGTGTTTTCAGATGGATCCATCTCTGCAAAGCACAAAATTAGGATGACCAGATTGTCAACAGTCTAAACGGGGATATACTTGGGTTGGGATTGTTGGTGAACATATAATTGTGAAAAGAGCGGTAAAATTGTCCATTCTCGACTCACTTGTGGCTCAGTATATAAACGGAAGAAGTTCTGTCCGTGCAACAGAGTGTATTTCTTTATCTTATGGTCATTTTCAAGCACAGTTTTCTCTATTTTAGTTAAACAAATGATAATATTCCCCTCTTTACTGTCGCTGGGGATCAAACTTGTCAAAAATAGGGACACATGGGACATTTCTTATATAAAACTGGGACAAATCAGTGGCCTTGGATAAATCTGCTGGGACAGGGGACACACGGCTCAAAACTGGGACTGTCACGGGTAAATAGGGACATCTGCACACTCTACACAAAATAAAGGCCAACACACGCAGAACACCCAAACACACACACCAACACACGGAGAGCACCCAAACACACACACCAACACACGTAGAACGCCCAAACACACACACCAACACACGGAGAGCACCCAAACACACACACCAACACACGTAGAACACCCAAACACACACACCAACACACGTAGAACGCCCAAACACACACACCAACACACGCAGAACACCCAAACACACACACCAACACACGCAGAACGCCCAAACACACACACCAACACACGCAGAACACCCAAACACACACACACACACCAACACACGCAGAACACCCAAACACACACACACACCAACACACACAGAACACCCAAACACACACACCAACACACGCAGAACGCCCAAACACACACACCAACACACGCAGAACGCCCAAACACACACACCAACACACGCAGAACACCCAAACACACACACACACCAACACACGTAGAACGCCCAAACACACACACCAACACACGTAGAACGCCCAAACACACACACCAACACACGTAGAACACCCAAACACACACACCAACACACGTAGAACACCCAAACACACACACCAACACACGTAGAACGCCCAAACACACATACCAACACACGCAGAACACCCAAACACACACACACACAACACACACGCAGAACACCCAAACACACACACAACACACGCAGAACACACAAACACACACACACACACCAACACACGAAACACCCAAACACACACACACACCCAACACACACAGAACACCCAAACACACACACACCAACACACGCAGAACGCCCAAACACACACACCAACACACGCAGAACGCCCAAACACACACACCAACACACGCAGAACACCCAAACACACACACACACCAACACACGTAGAACACCCAAACACACACACCAACACACGTAGAACGCCCAAACACACACACCAACACACGTAGAACACCCAAACACACACACCAACACACGTAGAACACCCAAACACACACACCAACACACGTAGAACGCCCAAACACACATACCAACACACGCAGAACACCCAAACACACACACCAACACACGCAGAACGCCCAAACACACACACCAACACACGCAGAACACCCAAACACACACACACACACCAACACACACGCAGAACACACACAAACACACACACACACACACACACACACAGAACACCCAAACACACACACCAACACACGCAGAACGCCCAAACACACACCAACACACACGCAGAACGCCCAACACACACACCAACACACGCAGAACACCCAAACACACACACACACCAACACACACAGAACACCCAAACACACACACACACCAACACACACAGAACACCCAAACACACACACCAACACACGCAGAACGCCCAAACACACACACCAACACACGCAGAACGCCCAAACACACACACCAACACACGCAGAACACCCAAACACACACACCAACACACACAGAACACCCAAACACACACACCAACACACAGTGAGTCTCACCATGGCATGTGATTGGACAGACTCACTGTGGCGTGTGACTGGACAGACTCACCGTGGCGTGTGATTGGACAGACTCACCGTGGCGTGTGATTGGACAGACTCACCGTGGCGTGTGATTGGACAGACTCACCGTGGCGTGTGATTGGACAGACTCACCGTGGCGTGTGATTGGATGCAGTTGGAGGCAGCTCTGTTTTTGGTGAAGACTGACTCCGCCCACCCACAGCAGGATCCAGGCGTCTGATTGGCTGCTGCGGACGCCCATCTCCACCACACAGACTTTACTGACAGCCAAGGCCCCGCCCACCTCTGCATCAGACACACCTGAGGGCAGGATCACCTGAGGAGAGGGACCAATCAGATCAAAGCCTTTAACAGTCCTGGTTTAGACCTGGTTTAGATCTGGTTTAAACCCAGTTTAGTCTTGGTCTTACCTTGAGGATGTGGTAGTAGTGTGAGAGCAGTTCTTGTGTGGAGTCGGCTGCACAGACCAGAGTTCCATTCAGAGTGTGGATCTGGAACTGAGGAGAGTTCCTAGAACAGACAGAAGGGGGCGCTATGAGACTAGTGTAGAATCGTGTAGAGTTTAGTCCTGTAGTCCTGTAGTCCTGTGGTCCTGTAGTCCTGTGGTCTTGTAGTCTTGTAGTCTTGTGGTCCTGTGGTCCTGTGGTCCTGTGGTCCTGTGGTCCTGTGGTCTTCTAGTCCTATGGTCTTGTAGTCTTGTAGTCCTGTAGTCCTGTGGTCCTGTAGTCCTATGGTCTTGTAGTCTTGTAGTCTTGTAGTCCTGTGGTCCTATGGTCTTGTAGTCTTGTGATCCTGTGGTCTTGTGATCCTGTGGTCTTGTGGTCCTGTGGTCCTGTGGTCTTGTGGTCCTGTGGTCCTGTAGTCTTTTGGTCCTGTGGTCCTGTGGTCCTGTGGTCTTTTGGTACTGTGGTCCTGTGGTCTTGTAGTCCTGTGGTCTTATGGTCCTGTGGTCCTGTGGTCTTGTGGTCCTGTGGTCCTGTGGTCCTGTGGTCTTGTAGCCCTGTGGTCCTGTAGTTTTGTGGTCCTGTGGTCCTGTAGTCTTTTGGTCTTTTGGTCCTGTGGTCCTGTGGTCTTGTGGTCCTGTGGTCTTGTGGTCCTGCGGTCCTGTGGTCTTGTGGTCCTGCGGTCCTGTGGTCTTGTGATCCTGTGGTCTTTTGGTCCTGTGGTCCTGTGGTCTTGTGGTCCTGTGGTCTTGTGGTCCTGTGGTCCTGTGGTCTTGTGGTCCTGTGGTCCTGTGGTCCTGTGTCCTGTGGTCCTTGTGGTCTGTGTCCTGTGGTCTTGTGGTCTGTGGTCCTGTGGTCCTGTGGTCTGTGGTCTGTGGTCCTGTGGTCCTGTGGTCCTGTGGTCCTGTGGTCCTGTGGTCCTGTGGTCCTGTGGTCCTGTGGTGTGGTCCTGTGGTCCTGTGGTGTGTCCTGTGGTCTTGTGGTCCTGTGGTCTTGTGGTCCTGTGGTCCTGTGGTCCTGTGGTCTGTGGTCTTGGTCCTGTGGTCTTGTGTCTTGGTCCTGCCTGGTCTTGTGGTCTTGTGGTCCTGCGGTCCTGTGGTCCTGTGGTCTTGTGGTCCTGTGGTCTTGTGGTCCTGTGGTCCTGTGGTCCTTGTGGTCCTGTGGTCTTGTGGTCCTGTGGTCCTGTGGTCCTGTGGTCCTGTGGTCCTGTGGTCCTGTGGTCCTGTGGTCCTGTGGTCTGTGGTCCTGTGGTCTTGTGGTCCTGTGGTCCTGTGGTCTTGTGGTCCTGTGGTCCTGTGGTCCTGTGGTCTTGTGGTCCTGTGGTCCTGTGGTCTTGTGGTCTTGTGGTCCTGTGGTCCTGTGGTCTTGGTCCTGTGGTCCTGTGGTCCTGTGGTCCTGTGGTCCTGTGGTCCTGTGGTCCTGTGGTCTTGTGGTCCTGTGGTCCTGTGGTCCTGTGGTCTTGTGGTCCTGTGGTCCTGTGGTCCTGTGGTCCTGTGGTCCTGTGGTCTTGTGGTCCTGTGGTTCTGTTTGGTATCAGTTATGTTAATAGTTCAGGTTTAGTCAATAGTTCTGTAATAATTCTCTTTTAGATCGTGTAAACTTTTTCCGCGTCGCTGTAAAATGCATTTCTGACCCGCTGTGCAGAAACACGGCGTGCACTTCTCTCAGGTCCAACACGTCGTACGCTGCAGAATCGTTCTCCAGAGAAAACAGGAAGCGGTCGTCCTCTAGTTTCCCGTGAAGCTCCTCCTCCTCCTCACCTGTACAGGTAACGACAGGTAAATGTTCTGGACCAATCAGGAGACAGAGTCAGAATGTGGAGAGTTACCTGAGGAGGCGGAGCTTGTGCTGTCATCGGCCTTGAGCGGATGTGGAGGCGGGACTTCTGTTAGAAAATGAAATTTAGGAGGATTTACAAGATCAGCTTCGTCAAACACTCTGTGTCTGAATGTATCACCCAGGCCCTAACCCCTTCCCCTGCACCTAACCCCTCCCCCTGCAACTAACCCCTCCCCCTGCACCTAACCCCTCCCCCTGCACCTAACCCCTTCCCCCAAGATTTCAAACCTTAAATCAGGTTATTTGTATTGTTTTCAGATTTATTATAAACTCATTCATTCTGAATTGGTTGTATCATCTTAAAAATCATCCCATATATTTCTTCCATGACTCAGCTAGTCAAAAAATCTTAAATTAGGCATAAATGTTTGAAAAAAGCTACAATCCATTTACCATAGTTTTCCCTGCAACACATCACTTGTTTAAACTTATTTCCATCTCATGATGACTTACCACAGATGCTTCATTCTACTCTAGAGGTCATTTATTTTAAGAGAACTTCTCATGTAAAATGATCTCGCTGCATGGACAGATAATTTCACTACATTTAAGTCATGTTCTGACGGATTTATGCATTAATACACATTACACATTTTGTCCAAGATTTTTTGCAGTGTAGGAGGACGTCTTTGGTGCGACTGACCTGTGAACTCATTGAGTCGCAGCAGCTCCACCTGCAGGGCTTGCCCCGCCCTCTCCGCCAGGTGAATGGGAGCGGGGCTGAGCAGATCGGTCTGGGTCACCTGATTAGACAGAAGCAGGGGTCAGCTGTAGGCTTTAAGGTGAAAGGTGAAAGGTCACAGAAGCACTGACCTTTGCTCCAGAGCAGATCAGAGACAGAGTTTCATCCACGTCGTCTCCACACACCACCTCCCTGAGCCTCTGCAGAAAAACTACTGTTAAAGACCTGCTAAGGTCCTGTTAAAGTCTTCCATTTCATTTCATGATTTCAGTGTTTCATCATGTCTCACTTGAGTCTGTCTCACAAACTTTTTGTGACCTAGTTTAGACCTGGTTTAGACCTAATTTAGACCTGATTTAGATCTGGTTTAGACCTGGTTTAGATCTGGTGTAGGCCTCCAAAAGACCTGGTTTAGGCCGGATTTGACCTATTTCATAGCAGAAAAATCAGGATCATGTAGAGCAGGTTAATACAAACATTTTAAGACCAAAATGTCAAGGCTCACAGCAGCAATTATGGAGAGCGTGGTGCCAGTATTCCAATGGGAGTCAATGAAAGTTGGAGTCAGAAGGAGCCGGAAGCACCGGATGTGAACTTCCTGTTTTTTCCTGTTAGTTCTGTCCATTTATGTAAATAGTCTATGGTTTAGACCTGGTTTGGTTGTGGTTTAGACCTGGTTTAGTTCTGTACCTGGTCCATCAGGTCCTGGCTGGAGGACAGGGCGTGCAGACGTCTGTATCGTCCCTTGGCATATTTGTCATGGATGAACTTTGACCTCGCTTCATCTGATGAATCAGGGCTCAGCTGTTCTGTTGCCGGTACGACAGGAGCCCAGATCTGATTGGCTGTTTGGTTTCCAAGGGAAACGAAAAGCTGTGGTCACAAGACACAGTGACCAGAGAATTATGGTCCGGTTATAGATTATGGATCTAAACTGGTTATATCAGAGTTAGGACTATCTGAGGAGTTAGGGTCAGGGTTAGGGGAGGGTCAGGGTCAGGGGTCAGGAGAGGGTCAGCGGAGGGTCAGGGTTAGAGGAGGATCTGAGGTCAGGGTTAGGGTACCTAAAGAGTCTGTAAAATTGTCAGACCTGGATGAGCGCCTCTGTCCACACTTTGTTGTCCATTGTCAGACTCTTGACTTTGGAGACTTTTCCCAAAGACCTGTGGACTCCTGTAATGAAAAAAAGAACATGTCAAACTTCACTGAACTCTGCACTTAATGTATCTGTACTTTAATCATCAAACTTAACATTCTCAGTAGTAAACATCCTCTCACCTGTGCAGCTGTGTTATTTGCACTTTGAGAAATGTTTAGTTGAAGTATTTTATGGATTTTAGTAAAGTCTCTCTCACCTGCGCAGGTGTGGCAAAGCACGAGCAGCAGATTGGCCGACGCCCACTCTGGATTCGCCGCTCCGCAGTCAGCACACAGTTTGGTGCTGGGATTCTGGTCCCAGAGACGCAGCGCCACCTGGCTGCTGCCCAGGGAACTGCTGATGCTGGAGGAGAGAGTGTCCATCCAGACGGAGAGCTCTTTGGACGAATCGACGGAGACGCTGTGGAGAGGGCGGGGCTTGTTTAGGGATATGTTTTGCACTTGTTACTAATTGTGTTTTGAAATAAAGATAAAACCTGAAGTTCTTGAACGGCGTGATGAGGCTGAACAAATGTTTCCCGCTCTTTTTCACCGATGCCACGATCAGCTGCACAGCAAACGAAGCCACGCCCACCGCAAAACTGTCCTTATTCGGATACACCCAAAGCTCAGCGCCCTGCACAGCGGCGTACGCCCGACTGCGTGGCTCCTTCAATGTGATTGGCCCATGATGCTGAGGGGGGGCGGGACTAGGACAGCCTCGAGCCATTTGGAGAGAAGAGACCCAGCCCTCCTTCACATCTGTGAAACAGGGGAAAGTTTAGACTGTTTATACTTAAGCGCACAGTGTCCAGCAGGAGGCGCTCTGACCGTCATTGTGGGCCATGAAGTCGTAGTGTTTCTTTCCAAGGTAAACGGAGAAGCGTCCTTTGTCCTGACACTTTATGTTTGTGACATTTGACAAGTGGAACATCACCTCACTGAAGCGGTCCTGCAAAACAAAACAAACACACCTAAAACACACTCAACAGACAAATAAAAAAAAAACCAAATGCACATAAGCCCCTCCCCCAATCTAACCCAACAGACAAATAAACATCACCTCACTGAAGCGGTCCTGGAAAATAATAACTTTATTTATAACACACTTTAAAAAACAACACAGGTTGACCAAAGTGCTACAGAACATAATTAAAAACAATAAAAGAGCACGGATAAAAACAGAAACTGATAAAAAACAATCTAATAAAATGTGATCATTTCAAACTGTGTCAAAGGTCAAAGTGAACAAGTGTGTTTTAAGAAGAGATTTAAAAACAGGAGAGCCTGTCCAGCTCTGAGCTTCTGACTGGCACTTTTAAGGTGTGGATCAAATTTAAAACCAAGGTTTACAATCTCAAGTTTAGAAAAATTACTAAGGTTTCCCAAATCAACAGCGACTTCAACACAGCTAGGTTATAGCTCCCTCTGGAGTTTAAGTTTCTCTGCTGTGAAAGGGGAGACTTACATTGCGTTTTTTCCACAGAGCCATGACTTGTCCATCAAATGTGGCCCACACCACGTTGTGTCTGTAACAGAGGTCAAGGGTCAAATGTGATGTCACAACATGTAACCTTCCTGTTTCCATGGAGATGTTATGTTAGGGTTAGGGTTAGTCTGGCAATAAACTAATTCTGCATTCAGACCACGACATCAAAGTACTAGAAGCACCTGAACACTCAAGACATGCCGTGTCGACGCCTGAAGACGTGACGCAAAACGCAGGACACTCTAGATGCACGTCCATATAGACTTTGAATGTAAACTGGACGCCTTGATGCCCCAATCTGACCGCAGCTTTATATATCTTTATATATCTTTATGTATTTGTATATATTTTTATACATCTTTATATATCTTGTTTAAGCGGGGGTCGACTCTCTATAGATTTGACTTGAAACTTGGTGTCTCCTTGGAGACAGAGCTGTTTAATGCAATACTGTGGACATTTCTAGAAACAATGACCTCTACTTTGTTCAAGAGTGGCACCACACTGGGGGTGTTCTTCATGTATGTCTGTGGTGAAATGTTCAGCAGTTACCATGGTGACACCCCCAGGGACAGCTGATGACACTAGCTGCAAATATCAAGTGTAAATGTGTTTGATGTGTTGAGTTACACCTGATGCCCTTCCACACGTCGAGCCAACTGCTGCGAGCCACAGACGGGCTCTGAGCCGGAGGACCCCCAGCGCCCTTCTTCCTCGAGACCCTCAGTGTGGCCGCTCTGACGAAGAAAAGAATATTTCACTATAAACACCACTTATTCTGGTGATAAAACCTGCTGTAAAAATAAATTACAGTTTTACACAAATCAAGAAACAGTTTATGAAGAAAAGTAGAAAAATAAATGACAGGAAGTAGAGAGATCTATTTTAGAGTTTCCCACACTGATGACATCACTCTGATGACATCACACTGATGACATCACACTGATGACATCACACTGGGAAAATTCTGTCCAAACTATTTAAATGCAATAAACACTTTTTTCCAAATACTTTAAACATGATTTCAACAGTATTAAGGTGTTTGCGGTGTTTTTATTTGCCAAATCATTTCTGTGCGTGGTTGCTTGGTAGCACTCATGGAATTCCCTACATTCCTACATTTAATGTTTTCCAAATGAAAATAAAATTTTGTAAAAAGTTCAATAATGATTTTAACAGTGTTTTATTCAAATTAAACATCTAAAAGGCACTTGAAATGAACAACACAGCAGAGTTTTTGAAGAATAATGTAACAAAACTCACCTGGGGATGCGTGCTTTGGGCTTCTTTGATTGGCTGGGGGGAATGGGAGGGGGCGGGGCCGGGCGAGAGGGGGTGAGGTGTTCTGGAGGCGTGCTGTGGGTCACATGACACAGGTGTACACAGGTGTACAGAGGTGTACACAGGTGTACAGAGGTGTACACAGGTGTACACAGGTGTACAGAGGTGTACACAGTTGTACACAGGTGTACACAGGTGTACAGAGGTGTACACAGGTGTACACAGGTGTACACAGGTGTACACAGGTGTACAGAGGTGTACACAGGTGTACACAGGTGTACAGAGGTGTACACAGGTGTACACAGGTGTACACAGGTGTACACAGGTGTACACAGTTGTACACAGGTGTACACAGGTGTACACAGGTGTACACAGTGGGTCACATTGACAAAGGGCAAAAGTAAGTACATGTAAAATATAGACTCATGTTGTACTCAGATTGCAGGGCTTAATGCTCAGTTCGAATTTTTTGTGAAATCCAATTTTTTTAGCGAGGTTGTTCACATTTCCAATTAAATGCGACTTGTATGGGATCTCCAGTGTGAACTTTAAACACTCCAAAAGTGTCCCGCATGAACACTGGAGGACATGACGACGTCATGTCGCATGTCAAAAGATCAGATATGTATGAGTTTTAGGAGCACATATCCAAGTGGCCTGAGTCGCATTTGAAAAAATCAGATCAGTGTCGTTCAGTGATTAAAAGATCAGATGCAGAAGCCTGGGGGTCAAAAACACACGTTGCTTTCTGAGGAAATTGCTGTCACTGCCTGTTGTGTTGTGCTCTCATTTTATTATTTGTCTGTGTTATAGTAGAGACTTATGATTTGCCCAATAGCGTGTGAGAAGTCTTGATCACGTGAGGCACAAAATTATGAATGAACTGTACCTGTGAATAAAGTGAAGTGTGTCCGTGGGGAACGGGGTAACCACACAAAAAGAGAATAAAACATGAACTGTGTTTTAATGGTCACAACAACACTGTGTAGAGGGACCCTGCTAACACTGCCCCACAAAATGCCACAGCCAAAAACCTCGACCTTTTCCTTCGCAATCCTCCACAAAACAAACTAGAAAAGCACTCAGAGAGCGCAGACCTCCGCCAAGGACTACCCTCATTTTTTATATAAATTGCGATAAAATCAGTCTTCTGGATCAGATCCGGATCAGCCTTTGGAATATGAAAGAGGATCCCATTGTCCATCCCTGAGTCAAATTTCATGGGGTTTGGTCAATAATTAATCGAGATATTGAGAAACAAAATTTTTGGCCCCATTTACCACAATGTTAACTAAAATTTTGAAGTGATCCAGAATCCAGGATTTCTTCCAGATCACCCCCAAAATGAAATCAGTTCTTTCTTTACACATTTCCAACAAATCCTGAAAATTTCATCAAAATCGGTCCATAACTTTTTGAGTTATGTTGCTAACAGACAAACAAACAAACAGACAAACAAACAAACAAACAGACAAAAAACAAACAAACAGACAAACAAACAGACAAACAGACAAACAAACAGACAAACAGACAAACAAACAGACAAACGCCGGCAAAAACATAACCTCCTTGGCGGAGGTAATAAGTTGTACATGTTCTGGCTCCGGTATGAGAGCAGCTTTAAAATCTTCAGGTGCTCGATGCTGTGTCCATGTTTAGGCGATTTCCGTAAACACAGAGACGCTCGCTGCGTGTGACGTTGTCGTGTCTCCAATGCTCATGTGTGACACTTTTGAGGTGTTTAAAGTTCACACTGGAGATCACATACAAGTCACATTTAACTGGAAATATGAACGACCTCGCAACAAAATCCGAGTTGAGCATTAAGCCCTGCAGGCTGAGCGTAGCTTTAGAGACAGATTATAAAGCATTCTGATTGGTTCATGATGATGTCACTCACGGCACAGCTGCAGCTTCCTCCTCCTCATTGGAGGATTCAGACTCTGCCTCCTCGTTGCTCGTCCAATGGGAGAGCATGGTCAGGAACTCCACTTTGGCCTGTGTCGAGTCTGAAAGACACGTTCAGTCTCAGGACTCAAGTTTGACTTCATACAGCGGCGAGGAGCAGAGCTGTCGACGCCGCCGCCATCGCTGCCGCTGCCGCCGCCGCTGCCACCGCCGCCGCGATCACATTTACAACTAACCATACTGACATTTAAAAGTGACAATTAAAACTGAATATTCATACCAACATTTGATACCGACTTTTAAAACTGGGTATTGAAACCAAGGAACAGACTCGATACTATATAATTATATATATATATATATTACATGTACCGCCGTTACGTAATCAGAGTACAAATTATGAGTAACTGTATTCAGTTACAGTTACTGTTTCAATGAATAATAATGGTAATTGGATTACAGCTACTTTGTTGAAATAAGTGGATTACAAGGCGGTATTCTCCTGTTTTCACATTTTGTGCTACATCCCATTTATTTATTTTTTTATTTTGGTAATTCCACTCATTGTTGGAAATCCAAACAGAACGCGACAATAAGAGCGATGGAAATGTCATGTTAAAGTTGGCGATGTCAGTAACACAGTGGAAGCAGCAGTGCATTGGTAAAAACGCATTTGTGTCTTGGAAATATATATATATATATATATATAAACAAATATAAAATGGCCTACAACTTAAATGTGAAACAGGAGCTACTGGCACTGGTGAAAACAACCTGCATAGACTCATAATATCTGCTATTACTGTCCTATAGTGACCTGCGACATGAGGTGACACACACACAAACACACACAAACACACACACACACACACACACACACACACACACACACACACACATGTGATTGTCCACATTAAATATTAAATGGTAGAACTTTCTTTGTGTGTTCTGATATCTGTGTAATCACTGGTTTAGTCCTGGTTTAGTCCTGGTTTAGTCCCTGGTCCAGGGGGTTCCAGAATGGTCCATGGGTGTGTACTAGTCTACACTGCAAAAACTAACATAATTTCAAGGACTTAAAATAAGGAACTCAATCTTATTTGACTTGAATCAAGCACAAAATAACATTCTTCCATTGGTAGATATTTTACTTGTCAAGTCAAATCTGAAATCTGAAATCAAGCTAAAAAAAAACTAGATATGACTTTTTGCAGTCTATTGCCACGTTTACATGAGAGCTTTAATTCCGAAATAAAAATAATTTAACCCTGAATAAAATAATAAAAATAATGTGGGTGCTTCATGCTCGTCGTGTCGTCCTTCTGATGCGTTGATCCGGACGATCCGGCTCCACCAGTCCTGTCTCTGGACTTTGATCCACGTCTCTTTGGATGCGGGAGTGGGCTGAGCTTTTTTTTTCTTCCTCTTTCTCCGACACTCTTCCCTTCTCCTCCTCAACTCACAGACGGAAAGTGTGATGAGACGATTCTCCAGCCGCTGCACAACAATTATCATCAGAACCATTGCGAGAAAAGTTTGGATGGTGTTTGTGTCCGTGGAGGAACAAACCCAGATGACGGAAAAGCCGGGAGCAGATGAAGTGTGTGTTTTCCTCCCAAAGACGTAAATCCGTTGGTGTGTGTGTGTCTGTCCAATCAGAACCCCCCGATGCTCACACACATTAAATAAAGAACATTTAAACAGTTTAACACAGAAACACCAATTCAGAATTATTATTTCCATGTGAACTCCAAAGGGAATATTTTAATTCAGAACTCTTTAATTTGGAATTAAAAACATCATGTAAACGTGGCCTGTGTGTCCTGACTCTGACCCTTGTGCTCCAGATCGTTCTAAAGCGACTCAGGAAAGGCTCTTTTCTTTTTTCAATGAGACGTTTCTAGGATTGATACCTGTGAAAATGAGGATCTAGTTAAGATATTCGTTTTAGTATCAAAACTGATATCGAGTCTGATGTTCGATACTTTTGATGGCCCTCGCCTGGACTCACGAAGCCGCTGTGACGTCTTTTAACGTCAGTCCAAACAAAAACGACGAGAAAACAAAAAAACTCCACAAACCGTTCGGACACGAGACTTCTGACACTTCTGTGACCTCCACGACCTTTGGCTCCAGCATCGACTTCACCAGATTCGACAGAGCGTTCACATCTGCACCAAACACTGTGTCAGGTCCCTCCCAATGTGTGTCAGGTCCCTCCCCGTGTGTCAGGTCCCTCGCCGTGTGTCAGGTCCCTCCCAGTGTGTGGTGTCAGGTGTCCCTCCCTGTGTCAGGTCCCTCGTGTGTCAGTGTGTGTCCCCCTCCCCGTGTGTGTCAGGTCCCCCCGTGTGTGTCAGGTGCCCTCCCCGTGTGTGTCAGGTGCCCTCCCCAGTGTGTGTCCCTCCCCGTGTGTGTCAGGTCCCTCCCGTGTGTCAGGTGTCCCCCGTGTGTCAGGTCCCTCCCAATGTGTGTCAGGTCCCTCCCCGTGTGTGTCCCGTGTGTGTCAGGTGCCCTCCCCGTGTGTGTCAGGTGCAGGCCCTCCCGTGTGTCAGGTCCTCCCAGGTGCCTCCCCGTGTGTGTCAGGTCCCTCCCCCAGTGTGTGTCAGGTCCCTCCCAGTCCCTCGTGTGTCAGGTCCCTCCCCGTGTGTGTCCCTCCCGTGTCCCTCCCGTGTGTGTCAGGTGCCCTCCCCGTGTGTCAGGTGCCTCCCCTGTGTGTCAGGTGTGTCCCTCCCCGTGTGCCCTCCCGTGTGTGTCAGTGCCCTCCCAGTGTGTGTCAGGTCCCTCCCCGTGTGTGTCAGGTGCCCTCCCAGTGTGTGTGTCAGGTGCCCTCCCGTGTGTCAGGTCCCTCCCCGTGTGTGTCAGGTGTCCCTCCCAATGTGTGTCAGGTCCAGTGTGTCAGGTCCTCCCAGTGTGTGTCAGGTGCCCTCCCAATGTGTGTCAGGTGCCTCCCAGTGTGTGTCAGGTGCCCTCCCTGTGTGTGTCAGGTCCCTCCCAATGTGTGTCAGGTCCCTCCCAGTGTGTGTCAGGTGCCTCCCCGTGTGTGTCAGGTCCCTCCCAGTGTGTGTCAGGTGCCTCCCCGTGTGTGTCAGGTGCCTCCCCGTGTGTGTCAGGTGCCCTCCCCGTGTGTGTCAGGTGCCTCTCAGTGTGTGTCAGGTGCCCTCCCCTTGTGTGTCAGGTGCCTCCCAGTATGTGTCAGGTGCCCTCCCCGTGTGTGTCAGGTGCCCTCCCCGTGTGTGTCAGGTGTCCTCCCAGTGTGTGTCAGGTCCCTCCCAGTGTGTGTCAGGTGCCCTCCCAGTGTGTGTCAGGTGCCCTCCCCGTGTGTGTCAGGTGCCCTCCCTGTGTGTCAGGTGTCCTCCCCGTGTGTGTCAGGTGCCCTCCCCGTGTGTGTTAGGTGCCCTCCCAGTGTGTGTCAGGTGCCCTCCCAGTGTGTGTCAGGTGCCCTCCCAGTGTGTGTCAGGTGCCCTCCCCGTGTGGTGCCAGTGTGTGTCAGGTGCCCTCCCTGTGTGTGTCAGGTGTCCTCCCCGTGTGTGTCAGGTGCCCTCCCCGTGTGTGTTCAGGTGCCCTCCCCGTGTGTCATGCAGATGCCCTCCCAGTGTGTGTCAGGTGCCCTCCCCGTGTGTGTCAGTGTGCCCTCCCCGTGTGTCAGGTGCCCTCCCCGTGTGTCAGGTGCCCTCCCTGTGCGTCGTGCTTTACCTGTGACTCCAGGTGTGAATGGCCCTGCAGGGGGGAGGGGCTTCTCTGCAGGAGGGAGGGGCTTCTCTGCAGGGGGCGTGGCTTTAGGAGCATTAGCGTTAGCCACATTACTAACGAGCCCGGCTAAGGTGCGGACGTCAGAGAAGGCGGCGAACATGTCTGTCTGAGCGGAGGGGGGCGGGGCCTGGGGAGCGGAGGGGGCGGGGCCGAAGGAGGAGGGGCTGAGGGGGAGGGGCCTGGGTAGCGGAGGGGGCGGAGTCTTTGATGGAGAGAGCCAATCCCGAGAAAGATGGAATGTGAGTCGCAATGAGGTCACTGACTCCGCCCAGAGACAGCACAGGGGGCGGGGCTTCATCTGCAGACAGGAAGTGACATCACATAAGTGTATAATGACCTCGTCCTAAACGCTGCTGAACTAATGCCCTGGTCTAATGTCTGAAATGTCCCGCAGTGGAGCTTTAACCCTGGAGCAGTGTTTTGTTTCATTCACACATATTTCAGTAATTCTGCACATTTAGGCGACAGGAGGAGAGAGGACAGGAGGACAGGAGGACAGGACAGGAGGACAGGAGGACAGGAGGACAGGAGGACAGGAGGACAGGAGGACAGGAGGACAGGAGGACAGAGGACAGGAGGACAGGAGGACAGGAGGACAGGAGGACAGGAGGACAGGAGGACAGGAGGACAGGAGGACAGGAGGACAGGAGGACAGGAGGACAGGAGGACAGGAGGATAGAGGACAGGAGGACAGGAGGACAGAGACAGGAGGACAGAGACAGGAGGACAGAGGACAGGAGGAGGACAGGAGGAGAGAGGACAGGAGGACAGGAGGAGGACAGGACAGAGACAGGAGGACAGGAGGACAGGAGGAGAGGACAGGAGGACAGGAGGACAGAGGACAGAGGACAGGAGGACAGGAGGACAGAGGACAGGAGGACAGAGGACAGGAGGACAGGAGGACAGGAGGACAGGAGGACAGGAGGACAGGAGGACAGGAGGAGGAGGACAGGAGGACAGGAGGACAGGAGGAGAGAGGACAGGAGGACAGGAGGACAGGAGGACAGGAGGACAGAGGACAGAGGACAGGAGGACAGGAGGAGAGAGGACAGGAGGACAGGAGGACAGGAGGACAGAGAGGACAGGAGGACAGGAGGACAGGAGGACAGGAGGACAGGAGGACAGAGGACAGAGGACAGAGAGAGAGGACAGAGAGGACAGAGGACAGAGACAGGACAGAGACAGAGGACAGGAGGACAGGAGGAGAGAGGACAGGAGGACAGGAGGACAGAGGACAGGAGGACAGGAGGACAGGAGGACAGGAGGACAGGAGGACAGAGAGGACAGGAGGACAGAGGACAGGAGGACAGGAGGACAGGAGGACAGAGGAGGACAGGAGGACAGGACAGGAGGACAGGAGGAGAGAGGACAGGAGGACAGAGGACAGGAGAGGAGAGGACAGGAGGACAGAGGACAGGAGGACAGGAGGACAGGAGGACAGGAGGAGAGAGGACAGAGGACAGGAGGACAGGAGGAGAGGAGGACAGGAGGACAGGAGGACAGAGGACAGAGGACAGGAGGACAGAGGAGGACAGAGGACAGGAGGACAGAGGACAGAGGACAGACAGGAGGGACAGGAGGAGGAGAGGACAGAGGAGGACAGGAGGACAGGAGGACAGGAGGACAGAGGACAGGAGGAGAGAGGACAGGAGGACAGGAGGACAGAGACAGGAGGACAGAGGACAGAGGACAGGAGGACAGAGAGGAGAGGAGGACAGGAGGACAGGAGACAGGAGAGACAGGAGGACAGGAGGACAGGAGGACAGGAGGAGAGACAGAGGACAGGAGGACAGGAGGAGAGGACAGGAGGACAGGAGGACAGGAGGACAGAGGACAGGAGGACAGGAGGACAGGAGGACAGGAGGAGAGAGGACAGGAGGACAGGAGGAGAGAGGACAGGAGGACAGGAGGAGAGAGGACAGGAGGAGAGAGGACAGGAGGACAGGAGGACAGGAGGACAGAGGACAGGAGGACAGGAGGACAGGAGTCCTCAGTGAAGGTCAGTGTGTGTATCTCTGTGTGTTTTGGATCGACTGTTTTCTCGTACGAATAACATCAGTGCATCTGACAGAGCTCGAGTGTCCACGTACATGAGCAACTGTGCCGCGCCTTGGCCCACCTCCTCCAACCGGGTCAAAGTCCCAACCGGGTCAAAGCCCCAACCGGGTCAAAGTCCCAACCGGGTCAAAGTCCCAACCGGGTCAAAGTCCCAACCGGGTTAAAGTCCCAAACGGGTCAAAGCCCCAACTGGGCCTCGCCTGAGCACGGTTCGTTTTTGCTCACACTGGACAAATGTAAAGGACTTTAGGGGCAATCTGCTTGGACACGGTTCTAAAGTCCTAGAGTGAGTGCGCCCTAAGTCTCTGTAACACCTGGTGATGTCATCAGGTGGTGCTCCATAAAGTCCATTCACCTTCAGCCCAAACTCCTTCAATAAAAAATAAAAAATGTGTGTGTAGAGTTAGGGATGTTTTACCTTTGGTCTCGGTCCTGGGTCCAGTCCAGGTCTCACTTCTGGTCCGGATCGAGTCTGTTTCTTCTCTGAAACAAAATAAACTAAATCAAAACTGCTGGATTTTGAGCTTCACCATTTCAAGGATAAAAATGTGAAAATCAGAAGGAAATGAGTCCCATGACCTTTATCCTCTGAGCCTAACCCCAACCTTAAACCCTTTAACCTTTTAACCTCGTCCGTCTCGTCCAGCCTGATCTCTGCCGCTCAGGAAGGCCATAATTATTTCTATTATTAACCCTGACCTTAATCCAAAACAGGCGTGGCTGTGGACGCCTTCGTGAACATGATCATGAACATAATGTTTGTGTTTCAGAGGACGTCACACACTCTACATGCCGGGGGTGTTCTACATGCATCGCTATGGTGGAATGGTCAGCAGTTTCCATGGTGACACAATACACACCTCAGCAAAAACTGATGGAAAAGTTTTTAGAATGTCTGAAAACTCAAGACAAACTCCCAAAATGTTTTAAAGAGACATTTTCATTTCCCTGTGATCAGAGCGTTCATGGTCCTGTTCAGAATAAAGTGACCAGATTTTCAAAATCAAAAAGTGGGACAGCCTCAGTTTGTAGAGGCTGGTAATAATAAAATTATGAAACAAGTGTGAAGGAAAAATGTTCTGCACTCGGCCCGTTCATGACAAACATGAGTTGGTATAGTCACATTTTTTGTTTTCAGAGTTGTGGTTCGGGTTAGAAGCTTTTCTGTATTTTACCCAAACAAATGACACTTTATCTCTCTTCACTGTTGCAGAATCAGACTGGTCCAAAATAGAGACACCTGTGACATTTCTTGTATAATAACATCTTGGGTTCTTCTTAAAGACAATACAGTAAAGTGTATTTACCTTATTCAGTCATGTATCTTAAGTAAAAAAAAAAACAAACAAAAAAAAACATTAAAGTACATAAGAAAACAAAGTGAACATCTGTGGGACAAATCAGTGGTTTTGTATAAATCTGCTGGGACAGGGGACCCAGGCTCAAAACTGGTTTAGTTTGATTTGACACTAAAACGTCACTCAGGTCTTTATGGTCAGATTGTGTCAGATTCACAGTTTAACAGAGTTTCAGACAGAGCGGTGCCTCAGTTAGCACTGCAGTGTCACTAAAGCAAATTAAAGCTCCTGCATCACACAAAACTGACCCCTGAGAGCTTTCAGTCATGTTCCACTGTTCTAATGTTCTACTGTTCTAATGTTCTACTGTTCTAATGTTCCACTGTTCTAATGTTCTAATGTTCTAATGTTCCACTGTTCTAATGTTCTACTGTTCTAATGTTCTACTGTTCTAATGTTCTAATGTTCCACTGTTCTAATGTTCTACTGTTCTACTGTTCTACTGTTCTAATGTTCCACTGTTCTAATGTTCCACTGTTCTAATGTTCTAATGTTCCACTGTTCTAATGTTCTACTGTTCTAATGTTCTACTGTTCTAATGTTCTAATTTTCCACTGTTCTAATGTTCTACTGTTCTAATGTTCTACTGTTCTAATGTTCTAATGTTCTAATGTTCTACTGTTCTACTGTTCTACTGTTCTAATGTTCTACTGTTCTAATGTTCTACTGTTCTAATGTTCTACTGTTCTAATGTTCTACTGTTCTAATGTTCTACTGTTCTAATGTTCTACTGTTCTAATGTTCTAATGTTTCCACTGTTCTAATGTTCTACTGTTCTAATGTTCTACTGTTCTAATGTTCTAATGTTCTACTGTTCCACTGTTCTAATGTTCTACTGTTCTAATGTTCCACTGTTCTACTGTTCTAATGTTCCACTGTTCTAATGTTCTACTGTTCTACTGTTCTACTGTTCCACTGTTCTACTGTTCTAATGTTCCACTGTTCTAATGTTCTAATGTTCCACTGTTCTAATGTTCTAATGTTCCACTGTTCTAATGTTCCACTGTTCTAATGTTCTAATGTTCTAATGTTCTACTGTTCTAATGTTCCACTGTTCTAATGTTCCACTGTTCTAATGTTCCACTGTTCTAATGTTCTAATGTTCCACTGTTCTACTGTTCTACTGTTCTACTGTTCTAATGTTCCACTGTTCTAATGTTCTACTGTTCTAATGTTCCACTGTTCTAATGTCTACTGTTCCTGGTCACCCTCAGGGCTGGAGTTGTGTTTCATTCACACATGTTTGAGTGACTCTTTATTATGAGTCTGTTTCATCTCCAAAGCTCCAAATACTCTGTTCCACCTTGTGATGTCATGAAGTGCTCAGCTCCTTTTCCCTTTAGTTCAGTCGAGATCAACAACTCCAGGACTGAAATGATCCAGATGATTCTAGTGAAGGTGTGTGGAGTTTAAAAACACGGTGGAGCACTTCCTCTATCAGGACATGATGACATCACAAGGTGGAACAGAGTGTTTTCAGTTTGAGAGAAGAACTCGAGGGAACGACATCAGAACAGAGCAGAGGATTATGGGACATGGAGTCTCAGTATAAACTACTGTAGAACAGAGACGAGGAGTTTGAACAGAACACAGAAACGGAGGAACAATAAAAGAATGATTCACACAAGGAAGTGTCAGACACGAGGATGACATCATGATGACATCATCAGGTGAGTGCCTTACCTGTCGGCAGCCAGGGAGGCGGAGGTAAAACTGTTCCTGGAATAACAGCTCCGGGGTTTAGGCACAGGTGGAGAAACGGGAAGTGACGTCATCTATAAGAGACACAGTAAAGTCTCAAAACACAAAAGAGGCGCCACAAACCGGTTTGACCGATCTGATAATTACACCGACAGAACGTGACACGTTTTATTTACTCTTCAAACATGCACTCTGTTATTTTTCCCGTCACACACTCTCCATGGAGATGTTATTGCTTTGTCTGGAATGTTCCACAATATGGCATTAAACCTTTCTATCTCCAAGGGCACCAAACCAGACAAAGTATCAGGTCAGATCTGTGGAGAGGCGACTCTGCTCTCAGTCAAAACTCCTGTTTTTATTGGTTGTTTTCAGATTCTGGAGCATGATGACGTCGTACTTACAAATGGGGGCATTAATCACATTGAACTTTGCCATGAAATATCCAAAAGTTAAATCCACAAATGTGGAACTTATTTTCAATAGTTGATTAAACCTTAGAACTCACAGTATCACATCATTTTACATTTTAACAACAGAAATTTGAACTGATCTCCATCTGTATTAAATAATATTGTCCTACAGAACGCTGTGATGTCATCTGAAACCCACCAATAGGGATTTTTGAGGCGTAGTCCGGGTTTAGACCTGGTTTAGTCCTGGTTTAGACCTGGTTTAGACCTGGTTTAGTCCTGGTTTAGACCTGGTTTAGACCTGGTTTAGACCTGGTTTAGTCCTGGTTTAGTCCTGGTTTAGACCTGGTTTAGTCCTGGTTTAGTCCTGGTTTAGTCCTGGTTTAGTCCTGGTTTAGACCTGGTTTAGACCTGGTTCAGTCCGGGTTCAGTCCTGGTTTAGTCCTGGTTCAGTCCTGGTTTAGTCCTGGTTCAGTCCAGGTTCAGTCCAGGTTCAGTCCTGGTTTAGTCCTGGTTTAGTCCTGGTTTAGACCTGGTTCAGTTAGGGTTCAGTCCTGGTTTAGTCCTGGTTTAGTCCTGGTTTAGACCTGGTTTAGACCTGGTTCAGTCCGGGTTCAGTCCTGGTTCAGTCCATATACGGCGTAAAAGTTCAGCAGTTATTTTGGTGAGAGTAATTTAAAGTTCTGTAATAATCGTGTCATGTTTTACATTTTAAATGCAGAAATATTTTAATTTAACGAATCTTTGAAATGACACGAATACGTCATAAATAACACATTACAGTTTTAAAGTCACTTGCCCAACAGTGGTCCCACATCACACTGTTCTGTTTATTTACACTGAGTTCTTCTCTAAAACAGAAAATGCTCTGTTCCACCTTGTGATGTCATCATGTGGTGATACAGGAAGTGCTCCACTGTGTTTTTAAACTCCATACACCTTCACTAGAATCATCTGGATCATTTCAGTTCTGGAGTTTCCGACCTCGACTGAACTAAAGGGAAAAGGAGCTGAGAACTTGGTAACTATCACTTCATGACATCACAACAACAGACTGAGATTTGCTCAAACACAGTAAAACCTGGACTTTTACTCGGGGTTTGGTATCCTTATCTCTGTGGTTATGTCATACTTGTATTTGCACAGTAAATAACACATACTTTTCCGCTTCCTGCTTGTCTTGAGGTGTTATTGCTTTCACTGGAATGTTCCACAGTGTGACTTTAAATATAATCCATTTAGCGTTTATTCATCACTGCTGTTTGTATTGGTCAATTCTACAGGAATTCCTAGTGTGAGTGGGGGTGCCTCTCCACAGACGTGACCTATAATGTACAGTAGTTCTGTAACGATTCTGTGGAACATTTTAGACAAAGCAATAACATCTCTATGGAGACATGTAGAAATGTTACACAGTGCTGCTTTAAATGAGAGTTAAACATGTGCGAGACTCACCTCTGAGTATCTCCTCTGTCAGACTCTGAGCTTCTTATCAACAACCGCAGCCCTGCCCTTAGTCCTGGTTTAGTCCTGGTTTAGAACTGGTTTAGTCCTGGTTTAGACCTGGTTTAGACCTGGTTTAGTCCTGGTTTAGACCTGGTTTAGATCTGGTTTAGTCCTGGTGTAATCCTGCTTTAGTCCCGGCTTCCTGCAGTGAAATGACAGTAAACAAAGCGTGGTTCAAACTCGTCTGAGCACATTCCACTGGACCTGTTTGACACGCCCCGGTCACATGATCCCGGTCACATGATCCCAGTCACATGATCCCGGTCACATTACCCGGTCCAGGGCTGGAACGGAATGAAGTAAAAGTACTTTAGTACTGTACTTAATATCATGTTTTATACAGACGGCGACCTCTGTGAGGAAGTGACTTCTGACTCTTGAAGTGGCTGTAAATTTTATTAAGGTTTTAAATAATTTCCCAAAGGTTTTACCTGCCCCTTGCAATTTTATTACTGACAATTTTAACAGAAGACTACGGTCAACTCTAGATCTGGTTGCTCCACTCAAAACTAAAAACATCAAAACCAAACAAA